CCCTTTTTGCAACGAACTAGACGTCTGACGATTTACATACGTTTTCTGTGACCTTCAAACAGATAATGTGCAAAATTTCTATAAATTTTGAGCTTTGAGAAAACAGTTTAGATGCTTCTTAAAATTACAACTTTGCCCGCGTCCCAGAGCCAGCTGTCCCGGAACTGTGAGTGCTGACTGTACACTAGCATTCTAGCACTAAAGTACGACCTATTTTGAAAATATCCGCCTTGCCAAAACTCTTGCATGTTTTTGACGCCAGCTCCCCAACTATAGGGTAAAGTGCAAATTAATAAAACTTCAACAACAAAAACACCTCAGGGTATTATAAGCGGGCGTTATGGATCAGGTTGTTATAGGTATGTTAACATATTTCGTTTCCTAGGTATTATGGATCTATAATAGTTAAGTAGAAAATAAATAACTATTAACTAATGCACCTTAGAGTATCAAACAACTTTGTAATTTTTTCTTTATTTTTTTTTCCTTGCATCTCCCTGTAAGTCCAATATCGCACTAACTAGACGCCCTGTGTGTAAAAAAAAAAACTTATGATCCAAATCTGGAATACATGACCAGAAGGTTACGAAATTATTGTATCGGTGCGAAGAGGCCGGCACCACTGTTAACGAATCCGATGTCAAGTATTCAAGAATGAATACTATTGTGTAATAAACAACTATTTACGTCATTCTATCGCGTAAATTTCAAGTTAGTTATTCAGTAAGTTTTTATAGAAGAATTGTTGTATAAATTAAACTGAAAGCGTTGAAGAGAATTTTGCTCGGAATTTTGTAAAATCAGTTAGGTCAATAAACGTTGTTGTCATTCTAGGCAGGCAAGAAGGATGGGATAGACCCCAAATCTTTAAGACCAATGAGCCTCACATCGATCCTTCGAAAGGCGATGGAAAAGGCAGTAGATAACTATATCAGATCCACTACATTGGATAAGTGGCCTTTGAATGCAATGCCTACAGAGCAGACATGTCCACTGAGACAGCTCTGTTCCAACTGAGGGGCATGTTACAAGAAACTCTAGACGAGAAAGAAGTCGCACTATGCGCCTTCCTAGACATCGCTGATGCCCTTGCAACACATCTCATGTGGTCATTCGGAGAGCACTAACGAGGAGTCAACGATACAATATCTCGATGGATGTGTAAGTTACTTGCTACGAGGACAGCAGAGACTTCAATAGGCAATGAGTCTATTGAGGTGAGCATTACTTGAGGCATTTCCCAGTGCGGAATATGCTCACCCCTGATGTAGAGCTCAGTGATGAATAAACTACTAGGAATACTGAACAATCTGGGCTTGCGCTGCGTTGGGTATGCCGATGACATTATCATCATAGCAAGAGGAAAATTCGAGTGCACCTTGTGTGAACTCTCAGAAACTGGAATCAAAGCAACGGAGGAATAGTGTCAAACAATGAGAGTGGAGATAAACCCATCAATAAAACACCGTAGGGCATTTCACTAGGAGGAGAAAACTCCCTAGAATCCGAATCCGAATACACAGGACTAATATTACACCATCGACCGTGATGTCAAATATCTCGGCATAACGCTGGACTGCAAACTCAGATGGAGCAAACACATTATTGAGGCGGTTGTAACAAAGGCTACAAGGGCTCTCATGGTGTGGCAAAACCTAGGGATGCAAACCAGGGATCTTGAGATGGATGTATACCATGATAGTAAGACCAACCCTACTATATGGATCGATAGTCTGGCTCAGAGAAGTCGAGAAGTAGAACATAAAAGCAGTTCTCAACAAACTACAGCGCTTGGCGTGCACATGCATCACGGGCGCAATGACTACTTATCCTAGGAAACACCACATCCATTCTTACAATGCAGCAGAAAGCCGTAAAATGGTATACTGATGGGTCAAGAACTGAACAAGGGACCGGAGCTGAAGTACTTGGGCCTGGGATCGAGTTCTTTGAAGCAATGAGAAAACACCCAGGCATATTTCAGGCGGAAATAACGCTATAAGTAGATGAGCTGAATTCAATCTTGACAGAAACTACAAAAAGAAAGAGAGCACAAACTCCGCTTTCAGGACCAGGGCCTTTCTGTGGCATAGGGATGCAAACCTATAAGGAAGCGTTAAGTTGAGGCAGCCCCTCACCAAGGGAGATCAAAAGATCTTATATATCACTGAGTAAAAACAATCTTCGCATTCTCACTGGAATTGTTACAGGCCACTGCCGGTTAAGAGAGAACTAAAATCGAAAACGAAGACATCTGCCGGTTCTGTGAGGACGGGAAGGAAACTCCAGAAAACCTTCTCACGTTGGACGGGAAGAAATTCGATCCATAGAAGTATCCAGCTTACTTGCGCTCATAAAAGCTTTGAAGCTGGATAAGGTGCTTTTAGTAAGAATAAATTATCAACTGAAGCACCCACAATAGATATATGCAGGTCGTAGGTAACGATACCCCTAATTCACTCATTCATTCAAAAGTTGTTGTTGTTAGTGAAGAGAGTTAGTAGTTCCGCGAAATTCGTGACATTATGGTATCAGCGAAGAGATAATAAGTGAAACAATTGGTGTATTAATTCAAGGTAATTGCTAATACTAATAATTTGCAGTCTTGGCGAGATAATTAGAGAATTAGTTTACGCTAGTCAGGTGGATAATTAGCGAGATAACTAGTGAATTATTGATTAATGCCAGTAGGTTGATACAATAAAGTGAGCTTTTGTTGAACTCAAGTAGTGACTTTATTACTGCTTTGAGATCGGAGAGGCAAGTCCACAAAGTGATTTCTAGACCATTCCATCATTTTCTAGGGGTATTTTTGCTTTCTTCGAAGCAACAACAAGAGTGCGAGAAGAACTAAAGGTCCCAAATTTCATTCATGGAATTTGAGATATGAATCTACTGCTCATAACAGAATTATCAAGTAACAGCGCAGCTCTAAGGCCTAGAAACCAAAGCGGCCTATAGGATATCCAAACCAAACATCAGAACTGTGTCAATACAAGAGGAAAGAGAACCAATGGGACAAATTTTTAAACACTCGTTGAAGGAACTTCTAGAAAAAAAAGAGAAGGTATTACCAGGAGCAAACAATGGCACCTAATTTCACCGCTGCGGATGATGATTCTACATGCTAGTAGAAGGCAAAAATATGGCGAGCGGAAAAAAGAAAATCGGGAGCAAGGAGATTAGTCGGATACGACTGCGGATCCAGGGAGGCAATATTATCCTTCAAAAAGACGCTATACAGATCATGCCGCTGAGAAGTACGAGTGCTATGATATTCCGCGAAGGGTCAGGAATTCTAGAGGAGAATTACTTGACGGGCTTTATGAAAATTATTACCAAATCACAAATCACGACATATTTGATGGTACCATGAAAGGAAGAAGCCCACCAGAAATTATCTGGTATAAAAGAATATCTAAGAATAATTAACACCAAATACATGACACAGTAGATAGTTGAAAGCTTGGTTGAAAGTATAGTGAAGAGTGGATGTCTAGAGCTAGAGAGTAAACTGCTGGAGACGGGCAGTAGACTGCTACATATGATATGGGCAGTAGAAAGACCAAAAATGTACATACATTAAAGGATAGAATAAAGGAACCGGGTGAGCAACACCAAAAACAAAAGCTAACCCGAATCAAAAAACTAAAGAGAATAAGACGAAGCTAGGAGATGATATGTGGGAGAAGAGAGAAGAATGTAGTTTGGAATTCGAAAGGAGACTTAGAACCCTATAAACCAAACATAGGTAGAAATTAGAAAACCTACCTACATACATAATAAAAATCTATCCACCACCAACGAAATATAAGTCCGATATATTTGGCAGTTATTTTGAAACGATCGTTTTCAAATTATTTGCCAATTTATATATAATTCTGTTTCAACTATCCGTGTTCTAGTTTCACTTCTCTGTATTTTTCCCCGTGAGTAGTATTGTTGACACGCAATGCTATTAAATCTATATATATAAACGTGAAATTCACTCACTCACTGACTGACTGATTAAACACGAAATCTCGAAAACTACTAAACCAATCGAGATGAAAATTTGCAAACAGGTAGGTAATAGGTTGGAGATGCTCACTAAGAAATAATATCAACATGGCCTTAAGCAATCGCCTTAAATAACCAAAAATAAGAAACGGTGTGGTACGGGAGTGCGGGGAAAAAAGTGTGAACCAATGAACAGAAACAGACGACGTGTCAGCTGTCAAATTCAGAAATATGACAAGCAGAATCAAATTCATAGCGATTTCCATTTGCAGAATCAGTGCAAAAAAAAATGTGTTTTTGTTGTTATATTTTCATGCTTTCACCAGAAACGATTCGGAACCGATTCTGAACAAATTCCACCGGTCCCAGGCTAAGCTAACTTCAAGTTTGAGACATGACATTCGCAATTCGTTCACGTATTCGACAGTCTGGAGCAAGGTTCTGGAGTTTTTGTTCGGTTCCAAAACTGTTCGCGATAAAATAGGAACCTGAACCCATTCACAAGTTGGGTTCGGGTTGCTCACTCCGAGTTACTCCGATCGCATTCCAGCCGTTATCTGATAAGCTAAAAGGTAATACCCGAACGGCTGAAGTGCGAATGGAATCACTCGGAGTGCACGGAGTGAGCAAGCCGAACCCAGCTATAACTGGGCATGCGCTCTACGATAGTCCTCCATTAGTTCCGCACTGGTTCGGAATCGGTTCAAAATATGATCCGCGAACAAAGCTATTAGCAGCGAGTGGCACTTCAAAAAAATTTAACGTCAGCTGTCAAAAAATAGTATTCATATTGTGCAGCCACAAAGCAGAACAAAAAATGTGGTTTACAGAGAGGTGCTGCAAAAATAAGAGTTACATGACCATATGTCTGACGCAACTATCCCCTTAGCTCTTTGAAAGAAGATTACCTAATGCTATACCTACACCCTACACCTACAAAATTTGTATAGGGCGTGCGAAGCCGCGGGCAACAGCTAGTATAATCATAAAATCATTCTTACAAATTTCGTCAAGCACGTTATCGTTTCCACCTTGTTAAACTCGTTGAAGTGAATTTTGAAAAATCCTTGATGATCCAAATTTCGGCAACTACCTGTGATGAAGACTTGGCCCTAAAATATTAATATTTTTACTAAACTTCTTCTAACAATCAAAACAAACCCATTTTCTCAAAAAAGCTAATTGTAAATATTCCTTACATAGTTCTCCATAGAGCTAGCACTTTCCAACGGTATCCTTCTACCAGGTTTAACAATGGATAAATAATACAACTCTCCTGGTAATCGACAATATCGCATTATAGGCTTTTCATATTTAGTTACCAATCGATCCCTTATCTCCAAATGGAAATTAAAATCATGCGTTTTAGGATCCGTTTTTTTGACAAAACCTGGTACCAACAAATTTCGAATTCGCTCACCCAATTTAGTACCAATTTCAACTCTATTGAAAAATTTATGAACCAAGTTTTGTGCGTAATATTTCCTGGAGTACTTTGTTAGCGTTCCTGCTGCGTATATTCGGTCGTCGTTTGTTTTGCAATTACTGTCGATCACTAAACGGCCTAGATAAAATACATTTTTATTAACATGCTTCTGTAGTGGCTCTAAATAATTTCTACCATCAAACACTAATCCACATTGACTAACCACTTGATAAATTTTCGGACTTATAGTCTTATCGTAAAAGAAAAATATAGCCTGGCAACTCATTTCCAACATTTTGTGTTTCGATTCGAATCTCACGCTCAAAATACGATTCTCTTCTTCCCAATATTCCCAATTTATAAAATAATATGACGAATACATTCGGATACCTTGCTGCTTGATATATTCCATAGTCTACAAAAAAAATATTCCACATTAAAAAATTCTAAACCAGTCATATTTTCATACACTGTGATAAATATCAGGATCGTTGAAAACCGATATATTATGACGCTTCTTCTTGTCAATATTCATACTATAAGGAAACGGTTCTATTAGCACTATCTTGTTACCTGGTATTCCATATTCCAAAAGTCCTGCCAAACAGCTGTATACTTGCAAAAAGTGTCCATATACAATAATATTATCTGAAAATTTTATAATACTTTTCAGTTTTCACGGCAAGCTTATCACGTTACCTACTTATTTCGAGGGTTTTGAGAAGCTGAACATTCCCGGACGACCATCGAGATTGAAAATTATTCATAGGACATAAATTATTACAATCAACTTGTTGAAATTTTGAAATTGCGTTATTGATTTAATTTACAAAAAAGTTAAAGTGGCTCTGAAATCGCCAATAAAATCTCAAAAATTGAATTGTTTTGGAAAAAAAATTGGTCTCAATAATTTTGTCAGTTTAGTGTCAAGAAATATAATTTCCTTAGGGGACAAGAATACTTCTTCGCAGTTACCTTTCGATTCCCCTGGAAATGACTGGGGTGAAGGAAATGTTTACTTTCGAAAAATGTCAATATTTTTGATGTATTTTCGGAAAGTTTTTGTATCGTATCAATTTTTCTTCATTAATTAGAATACACAAAATGATATCACATTCATGGTGTCTACAAAAGCTATAGGTAGGTACTTACTTAATAGGTTTTGGCTAAGGGCATAAAAACTACTTTTAACAAATTTATCATAACGGGTCTTCAAAAAAAAAAACAAACAAAGAGTGCTTTGATTACGAAAACGTACGTCGCATTATTGTTTCTTAATTGGTCAGATTTTTAACAAGGAATTTGGACAATAAAGTTCATTGACAAAATTAAAGAAAAATATTGCTAAAACATACCTACGTTTAAAAAAACATAGCAATCTTATAACCCCTTTTGTTAATGAATTAATTAGGGGTCCATAATATGCTCAGTTAGATCAGCGAAAAAAAAAAAAATAGATGTGGGTTGATAGTTTATTCAGTACAGAATGGCGAGGGCGCCACTGAATTAAAAAATAGTATATTGTTGTATTAGGAGTAGAAGCTTTACTTTGTTGTGCTGAAGCAGTAGGTTACTGCTGAAGCACAAAAAAGTGCTTCTACTCCGTATGCAACACGCTATTTTTTCTCCAAACTAATGAGGTAGACTCGGGGGCAAGTGGATGGTTAAGCGGCAGTAAAAGTACGAGCGGCACTAAAAGTACTTTTGCTGTCGCTGGGGTTGCCAAGCAGCAAAAAAATTAAACTTCTACCACCTCGACAGGTGTCTACCCGCTGGATTTACCTAGCAGCATAGAAATTAAATTTCTAACATCTTGACAGGGGTTAATAAAGTGAAGTTTTTTTGACGTTTGGAGAATTTTTTTTTTTTATAAAATTGCACAAAATATGGAAGTGTGAAAATTCAGAAACACACCCAGAAAATAATTAGCAAACGATAATCAGTAATCCTGAAAAAAAAAAAAATTATGCACACAATTCAACTCTCGACCTATGGGTAAAGTCAGCCGTTCGAGAGACCCTAAGTAAGAATGCATTCCTTGAAAAGCCGTTAATTATAAAACTTGAAAGAACTTACCACGTTTCTGAGTGGGAATTCAAACTTGAATTAAATCGTAATCACGAGACTTTTTGATCCGAATATTTCTTAAATCGACAGATTATTGCCACACGCAACTTTAATTCGTTAAACAGGGCAACGCCCAAAGACCGGTAAGATATTTTATTTGATCAGCACTTTCAGTCAACCGTACTGTTCAACAAGACAATTTCAAAGGAGCGAGAATCATTTTCCCACGGGCCAGGTAAGCACAAATACAGCGCTTCCTCCCGAAATAGCCAACGGAAATTGTTGGTAATGGATAATTAATCCAAAATTTTGGGTTTTGGTTATTCTTCAGCAAAGACAAAGTCTTCACTGAAGAAAAGCAATTTCGCCCGCAACCATTCCCTAGTACAAACACATTGTAACCAATTGTTTGGTTAAACAATATTATTGTTTGTATTAAGCCATTGTTTTAAGCCACAATGGTAACGGCCTTGGTAATAGCAAAATAATGGTAAGGTAAGAAAGAGAGATATAGAGAAAGATAGAGATAGAGAAAAGTAATCAATAAAGGTACACGGTAAAAATTCCTAGGAGAACTTATGTCGATAATGGCTGATATTATAAGCTGACTCAAGAAGTTCTATTGGCAGATATTAAAGAGGTAATATAAACGGTATTAACGGTATTGATGGTATTAACGATATTCGATAGAAAAGATAATTGAGAAATAGGATGAAACAACTCCAGCAAACTACCTGACAAAAAAATGAACGCTAAGGTAATGAAATTGATAGATGAGCTGAGTTGCAGAAATTTTAGAAATCGGTACGATACTTTGAAAAACAAAAACTCACTCCAAAGATAAATCTGAGTTAGAGCCAAGGTACTGTTTTAAGTCTTTTATATGCCAGTTACCTACATTTTTACCTGTAGAATCGGCCAAAGAATAGACTAAACGAGACATACGCTTTTTGACTGTACACAAGATGTATTTAGGAGCTAGCTTTGCGGAAAACTTTTTAGAAGCATCGGAAAGAACCTTGTTGCGTCGCCAGACCCTATCACCTACGTTAAAGACAGCGTCTCGTCTTCTCAAATTATAGGTATGGGTATATCTTTGGTAAGCGATATGCAGTTTTTTCCTAACTTCAGTTAATACGTCCGATAATTTTCTGATATCCTTAGCCTAATTATCAGGGTTTCCTTCCGAAGTCCTCAGAAGAATTAACATCACCATAATAACGTCCAGAAAGTGGTATATGACGAGCAAAGTTAAGAAAAGCAGGAGTGTATCCGGTAATTTCATGCTTCGCAATGTTCAAAGCATGTTGAAGTTTTGGTAGTTCTTTGTCCCAACCCTTGTGATGATCCTTTATGTAACAACGAATTGCTGTTCCAATTGTTCGATTTGAACGCTCAACGAAATTAACTTGAGGAGAATAAAAGGAAGTATACCATACTTTTTGAACTTGATACGTATTGGCTAAGTCTTCAAAAGTATTAGCTACAAGGTTGGAACCATTATCACAGATGATATATTGTGGAACTCCAAATTTAAGAAACACCTAGTTTTCCAGAAATTTGACGATACAGTTGGCAGTAGCAACTCGCAAGGGATGTACAAGACAATATTTGGTGAGCCAGTCACAGACGACGAGGAGGTAACAATTGTTTTTGGGTGATCTCGGAAATGGACCCATTAAATCTACTGCAATGATTTGCCAAGGGAACTGAACGGATTTTTCATTGCCCATTAATCCTAATGGAGGAAGATTAGATATCTACTGACTTGCACAAACATGACAATTTCTCACAAAAGATAGGATATGCTTGCGCATTCTAGGCCAATAGAAATTTTCTTGAATTAGAGGTAAAGTTTTGAGAAAACCCAAATGAGCGGCGGTAGGAGGATTGTGACAATCTTGGATAGTCTGTTTCTGAAGATATTTAGGGACTACTATTTTCCACTCTCTAGTGTTGGATTTGACAGGGACAGAAGACAAAATTAATTTGTAAATAATACCGTTTTGAACTTTAAAGTGAGGAAAATGATCGGGAGATTAAAGAATTCTTTCTCTCAAGGACACATACCACTGGTCAAGATTTTCGGGAATTATATCGATAAGGGAAACCTCCGGAAGTATGAGTCCTCAGCTTCATAGCCCAACGTGCAAGTTTTCCTGTAGGTTTCGTTCCGCTTTAGTGAGAGACCTACTAGCATGCTATTATTTTTTCGACACCACCAATGACTTGGGTGAGGACACCTCCCAATCCAACATCACTGGCATCACTCTGGATAGTAAAGAATAAAGAAAAGTCAGGTTGACTCAAGACAGGTGCGGAAACAAGAGCCTGTTTGACTTGAAGAAAAGCCTTCTCGGCATCAGGAGTCCATTGTATAGGTTGATTCTTCTTTTTATCTTTTAAGAAATCGTGAATGGGAGCCATTAAGGAAGAATAATCCTTCAAGAATCTTCTATACCAACCACATAAACCGGAAAATCTTTTTATTTGAGTGGTATTGGTTGGACGTGGATGATTAATCATAGCGGAAATTTTTTCAGGATCTGTTCGCAAACCATCTGATCCGACAATATACCCAAGAAACTTGAGAGATGTTTTGAAGAATTCACACTTATCGACATTGATTGTTAAATTAGCATCTTTTAAGATGTCTTTAACTTCAGAAAGTAACTTAACATGTTCTTCAAATGTGGAAAAAATTATAACAATGTCGTCAAGGTAACAAAAGATATTGGGCTCATACCAAGGACCAAATAAACTGTCCACAAGTCTCTGTTGAACTTGGGCGTTATTGCATAAACCAAAAGGAACTGAAGTACATTGAAATAATCCACGATCCATGATAGAAAAAGCTGTTTTCTCTCGAGAATCTTCGTCAAGAGGAATTTGCCAGAAAGCTTTACGGAGATCTACCGAAGATATAAAGTTTGCACCACGCAACATGCTGAGAATTCGCTCTATGTTAGGTAAAGGATAGCTGTCATGTTTCGTTTGCTCATTCAAAAATCGACCATCAAAACAAAATCTCATTTCCCCATTGGATTTCTTTACGAGAAGTACGGGAGAAGAATATGGACTTTTTGAAGGTTCAACGACACCTAATTTCAGCATATCGTCAAGCTCTTGATTTAAAATTTTCAACATGTATGGTGGCATGGGATACTGCTTTCTCTTAAAAGGTTTGGCGTCACCGGTATCGATTTTCATAGAAATTTTATTTGTTCTGCCAATTTGAGTGTCGCTAGATATTTTTCGAAAAGAGTCTAATACTGTCTGAGCAAGCTGGTTATCCGACAAATCATCCAAGGTAAAAAGTCAGGTAACGTCACAATTATAATTTTGAAATTCAAAAGTAGAAGTATTTTGGGAAAACCAGCTATTTTTACTGAAATCTACTATCAATGAAAATTGTCTGGCAAAATCGCTGCCAAAAATAAAACTGTGTACCAGGGATGGTACCACTAAAGCTTCCAAGACTTGACAAGTATCATTATGGTAAATAGGTAAATCGATAATACTGCTAACTTTCTCAATTCAATTCAATTCAATTCAAATAGTTTATTTATCAAAAAAAGTTA